CTGATAAAATTCTGGTGGGGGAGTACTGTGGTGTAACTACCACTACAAAAGTTTAACATCATTCACTAGTATATAAAGCATGCTAACTTGATTCTATCCCGAGGTACCTTTTGATAGATGAAGGTTGGCATGGTCGATAACTCCGCCCCCCCACAGAAGACACTTGATATCAATACTGTTTTTTCAAATATTAATTCATTGAATAAATTTAATTAATTAATTTTATTTTTATATAGGAGAATTATTATTTAATAAAAAGTTACTGAAATAAACTTTTTCTTTGTTGACTTAAGTAGGAATTGATTATTATTTTTTATATTACTTATTAAGATGCTATCTTTACTGTTTAAGTAGGCATAGATTCTAAAACTGCTAATATATAAAGCGAACACAAAAACAATCTTCCCCTGAATAAGCATATGTACAAATATTTTTTGAAACTACTCAATCTGGAAATTAGCTGGTCAGAATAGTTTTAGCCATTTTTAAGTTCCCTCACCTATGTTTCTGTTTGAAGTAGTTCTCAAAATGAAATGTAGATGGCAGCACAAAATCACGTAATTAGTAAATGTTTATTTTTATGTTTTATGTAGTTTAGTTCTTTATGTGTTTTTTCTTAATAAAGTTATGTTATTAAAACAGGCATGGTAATTTCAAAGCGCTATTTTCCCCGAGAAGAAATTCTATTACAACCTGCAATACTCGATAAAAGTATTACGTCTACTAATACTGAATTATGAATAACCTTTGATTGATTTTTATGCAGTAAGATTTAATAGTAATCCTTATAAGGGTTGCAATCTTAATAATCTTAAGTAAGGGTTTTAATTATTGCATACGATATTTTAAGTTATGAAATCAGAGACAAGAAGGTATACTTTCTCTGAAACATACTTTCTTTTTTCAACCGATCATTGTACTTCAAAATATAGGGGATGGCCACAATTTGAAAAATATGGTCCCAATAAGTAAACCCTTTAATGATAATTTCACTTTTTGTTTCTTTCTCTTTACCTCAAGAACTCTTTACATCGAGATTGAAACATTTCACACACAGCTAGAAAATTATTATACGAAAAATAATTTTTAATAGTTATTTAAAATAATTTTTATGAATTAATTTATTAATACTCGAAAATTTTTTGAATTGTAAGGCATAAATTTTAACTGCATTTTGAGGTAAGCAATTTCAAATGACACTGCATAAAATTGGTCGAATAGTGTCCCATAAATCAAAATTTTAAAATTATGTCTTTTTATCGGTCGAATAGTTTTCCAGAAATCAAATTTAAACTGTTTAAAATTATAAATTCAGGATTGATTCATCCGATTTAGTTCAAATTTTGTATTTTGTAATTTAAAATTACATACTTTAAAATTATGTAAAAAAAAAGTGTTTACCTTACGATTCAAAATTTCTTTTTAAATAAATTATTAAAAAATAAATATTAAAAATTGTTATTTTTTACATGGAATTATCTTTGGATAAATGAATTGCTTATAAAAAGTTTTGCTTAAAACGTTCTCGAGATATAGCATAAAAACAGAAACTGAGGTTTCCTAATTTTCAACTGCTTATACAATTGGGACACTATTTTTCAGATTGCGGCCCGAATTTTGAAGAATTCCGCCGGAAAAAGGTAAGTTTATTCACTGAAAGTGTGTTCCTAATTTCGTGACTTTAATTAAGGTTATAATTAAGCTTATTTAAGGTTATGCCCTCAAAACATTAAAACTAAGTACATGAAAATTCGATCATTAGATCAAAAATAATTCTTGTTATTCTGGGGACTTTCTTTTCGCATAATTTTAGATTGAATATTTTTTTGTACATAATTAGAAAGTTCGTTAATTATGAAGATAATCCTATGCATAAAAAAATAATTATAATTATTTTTTTGAAACGATTCAAAAAGTTTAAAAATAAAAATTTTTAAATGTCAAGCAATCACTATCAGCAATCTAAAAAAGAAATCTGCCAGATTCCTGATTTCATGAGCAATAACATTTCAGATATGTTTTAAATGATTCTATTATTTAAGTTGACGTACTTAAAGAAATTGTTACATTTGAAAAACTTTGTCTCTATTTACAATAAATTAAAATTGCTTACGAAGAAAGATGACTTTGGAATATTACAGAGAATTTTAACGGTAATATTAAAATATTACAAATCATTACGAAGAAAGGCAGAACATCAAAACCATGTTAATTGGAGTAGAGGGCGACTAGAAGATACTTCTTTTTTAGTCACTCAAACATGTTTCAATTCAAAATTGTCATGTTAATTCATCAATGTTTTTAAATTTACAATAATTTTTATGCTTAATTTAGAGAAGGAGTTTTGGTTTAGTGTTTATAGAATACGTTCATTAGGTCAAACAAGTAAGCTTTTTAAAAAACAGAAGCTTACCTTCCTAGCTCTTGATTTAATGTATATTCTGTCTTTACATCTTTACCTTTTTTTACAATAATTGTTCTGGCTTCAAAATCAGGCTCTGGATCTAAAATTCAGAAATACTTAAAACATACTTTCTTATATGAATTATTCAAAATAATTCTAAATTATTCTATTTAAAAAATACCTATGGTAAAGAAGAAAATTGATGCATTCTATTTTGTAGAATTAAGACGAAGCACCTTTTTAAGAAATTTCACCAAAAACTTATTTTTGAGAAATTGCGGATGAAAACTAATTTTAAAATCTTATAAAAATCCATCTTCCGGATCTAGATGGCAGCATCATCTGAATTAGTTTTTAAAACTGATACAATGATGATACCGCAGTTGACATTGCCATTGATACAACAATGACAATGAGTTCTTTACACTATGTGATTACATTATTTAGTGATCTATAAAATCGTTCATATGATGTATTAATTAATAAATTATTTGTTAAACTTACAAATGAATAGAAGAAAATTCAGAAATACTTCTTGTAAAACTTATATAATGATTTTTAAACCTTTTTATTCATTTTTAGCTTTCACATAAACTTTTTTATAAATATTTGGCAAAATTGCGAACCATATGTGTTTCTTGTGTTAAATAATGAATTTCTTTTTTTTTTACTACCTTATTAAAAAATTAATAAATAAGTTAAAATTGTATAGTGGATCATCAATGTCTTAAAAAATTCTAAAATCGTCAAAATATTTTGTGGACTTTAAGATCTGATTAATATATCAGAAAGCAAGTAACGTTGTTCTGTTTAGTAAAATTTAGTTCATTATTCAGTCTTAATTAATATGAGTTTGTGGTAGTTACGATCTGTATGAATTTTTAGATTTATCGATTTTTTTTTTATCTGAACGTTATAATAATAATTTTGTAACGATAATAAATGCGTGTTAAATACATAATTTTTTTGACAATTGACTTTTTTGAGAATTTTTTTTATTCAATTTACAATAACAACCGTTTTATTCTAAAACTAAAATCATTCTTAAATCTGCGTTTTGAACGAATAAAATTTAATAAATTATGTTCAATAAAAACAATGGTAGTTTTAAAATTTATAAGGATATACCTTAATATTGATATATATCTGATAAAAAAAATATTTTTTAGGTTCTTGTAACTGATATTCAGTTGAATAGGTATTAGTTTGTAACTGATGAAACTTTAGGGGAAAAAAAACGCAATTTGTCCTACTCTGCAACGAGAGTTATAAATAAAAAAATAAAAAAAAGGATTTAGTAATTATTTCTTGATGTACAAATTTAAGAGAAGTTTAATAAAAATATTTTTAGAACTAGTTGTTTCTTTTCTTCCTACAATATTTCTGTCACATCTTATAAGGAAGATATCTGCGTGAGATTCGAACATCAATTGGAGTACTTTTATACAGTCAGTATTTTTGATTATAAAATAATATATATGTAAAATCTTTTATCTATTTCGCACTAGTTGCAGATATATATATATATAATTAATAGTGGTAGTTCCAGCAAAAAAATTTGTAACGAAATAGAGAAACTTCGCCAAATGCACAGTAAAAAATACAGTTGGAAAAAATCACGTTAAAAGTACAAAAAAATAATTTTAAACAATTTCTCGTTATAGTCCTAATTCAGCTAGTTAAATGTAATTAAAAAATATTTGTAAAATTTAGAATTATACAAGAAATTTAGGACTTATTATTCGAAACAGAAGAATTTTTATTCTAATTTTATAATTCAATCTTTTAAATTTAGCCTTTTAAAATGCAAATATTATAGTTTCCTATTTTGCGGAAAAGCTTTAAACTATTTATTTATAACAATGCTGCATTCTGCTGCGGAATAAATGCAACTTGGTGACGTCAATTAAAAATTGTAGTTTTTGGGTGTTTATAACTTATAAATAATTACTTTGAAATAGACAAAAGGTGCTGGGGTAGCCTGGTCCCGTTTGAGAGAACGTGATCCAGCCGGCCGAAGACTCTCCGTGTAGTAAATGGGGACAGGTACACGCTAAATCTATCGGGTCACAAAGTATTCCATCTTGCCATATTAAATTATACGTCTGGCAGTACCGAATTGGATCTATCTCTGGTTCTGGTCCAAATTGCGATCTGCGGATGAATGACCGCATGTATAAATGGGTCCACCCTATATTTTATAACCGTCGTTGAACCGCCGACACAATTTTTGGGTTTACGACTACTAATGTTCACCTACGTAGCTTTGTAATTTTGAACCAGCAGACAAGGGTCCCGCACTGCAATACTGATCGTTAGGATTCGGTTCCCGGCAGATCACCGAGGTCAAGCGTCAGTGTGCGGGTGGGTGACCACTTGGATCAGTCTGCCTAGGGTCTGCGCAAGGTGTGCGGTATTGGTCCTCGTTAAAACTGTTCTATCGACAAGTGCTCGCTTCGCGTGCAGTTCGTCGGGCGACCGAAGCGGGGGTGCCATCCCCTCTGCAGAGGATCGAAATTGTGATGGCATGTTTTCCGATCATCCTCAGAGATGTTTCCCTCACCGTCGCCAATAGCCCACTGTGCAGCTCTGGTGCGACGCAATTGAACTACAATTACAACAACAGAAGACAAGGGAACTCCTAGATCAAGAATTGGGAGAAATTTGCCTTCGTTGAGAACTTTTTGATGGAACTAACCTGCATTTGCGTTACATGGAGTGGAAGACCACGAGAATCTCCCACTGTTAGCCAGACCCATGATCCGCCTACCACTAAGGATATTTCTTGTCATCAGTGTGGTCGGTGCAAGAATGCGGAATTTGTATCGACCAGTCATTGCCATGATTCGAACCTGGTTCATCTGATTGGAAGGCGAACGCTCTATTCCCTGAGTCATCGCTGCTCGTGTCCGCCCTATAAACGGGTGTGGCGTATGAGTGAGGCAGAAGTCGACCATGAATGGCTACTGGAAAACAAGAACAATCGCACTACTTGCCGTAATGGTATACGAGAATAGCAATAGAGAAAAAATATTTTTAATACGATTTCAGAACTATGAGTAAAAAAGAAATTAATTTTGATTGGTATGTGAGATTTTGGGTACCTTCTCTATTTGCCATGAACAAAGATGAGTGAAGTATACTTATATGAATGATGCTCTACGACTTCTCTAATATTCCATTAACAGTTTCGCATACATAGATTCTACTTAAACTATACCTACAGACATTTGAAAAGATGGATAAGAACTTTTAAAGGGTTAAAATATGAGTCATCATCATTTTAAAACAAACTTAGTAAATCAAAAGAGGCATATTAAAGCGTAAAGTTTGCTATCACTTAAATATTAATATATAATCTTCCCGAAAATCAAAAAAGTTGACAGTACAATAGAACTGGGCAATGTAAGAAATTTTATATCGTGATGCATGATGCATCGTCTGTTAGACATCGCGATATAGCGATGTATCGCGATTTAGCATATGTTCAAAAATTATCTTTCAGAAGTCTTTAAATTTATCAAAAATAAATAAAAGGAATAAATCTATTACGAAACAAAATGTATTAAGTAAAAACAAACCCAAGCTTATTTTTTTTTAAAAATAAGCTTGGCTAATTTTAATAAAAGCTAATTTTTTTTAAAATTAAAAATGACTTAAGATTTATTGGTTTAAAAATAATAATAAAACTAACAAAATATTTTACATACATGCATTAAAAATCAAAAGGAAAAAAACAAACAAAAGAAATGTTTACTTTAGTAAAAAAAATTTTTAATTATTTGTTGAAAAAAATCGTCCTTTTGAAGCATTGTTAGACATTGTTTTATTTATTTATTTAAATTAATAAAGTTGCATTAACTAATGCTCTAATTCTATACTTAATGAATGTAAAAGTAAATTAAAGTTTTTTATTTATTTATAATTATTATATATTTTTTCTTTTTTTTTTTGAAAATAAAATAGACTAAGGATTTATTTGTTTAAAAATGATACTGACTGTCGAACAAATTATGAAACAAACAAGTATTGAAAGAATTTTAAGAAAAATTAAAAAAAAGAAAAACTTTTAAGTACTATTGTTAAATTATTAAAAAGCGTCAAAACATAGCTTAACTTTTTATTCAATTAAAAAAAAAATATTTGTTTTAACTAACAGCCAAATTTTTTTTATAATTAAAAACGACTGAAGATTTATTTGTTTAAAAATAATCAAATTCTATCAAATTATTATACTCACGTGCATTAAATAAATTTTAAAAAAACTAACTTTTTATAATAAAGTTGGATACAAAATACCCCTATTAAATTGTATAGCTTAAAATGAAAAACAATAATTTAAAAAAAACAATGAAGAATTATTTATTCATTTTTTCTTTTCATTAATAGTTAGATTTCAAAACGAAAATTTAAGATGACAAGCGATTGCGCAACGATCGCCAAGTAACAGTAGGTCTACTAAAAATAATTGACAAGAATCGTTAAATCCCGACAGACAAAAAGAAGAAAAAGTGACGAAATAATGCCCAATGAAACGATCGCTAAGTCTCACTGAAAATAATTTACAAGAAACGTTAAATCCCGACAAAATAAGGTGCACAGCGATCACAAAATAGCTAAAGTCCAGCGGAAATTAATCTTCAAGTAATCTTCCTAAGACAAAAATGGCGCATAAAGAAACTATGCATAGCGTTCTATTTCACCGCTGATCCTCGCACGAACCGAGAGTTCTGATTCAGTTCGCTTTTCGTTATTCAACATAACGAAACTAATATCGCCTTCGTAGCTGGACGCTATCAACAGCTCCTCAGTTAGACGAAATCAAAATCGTCTCCGTCAGCTGGGTGACAGCGTTAGCGTAGGCAAGGATTCGCACATGTTAAATCGTTAAACCGCGAGCATTGTCTTACATGACGACGGCTTAAATCAGATTTCTGATGCATCGAAAATGAAAGTCACTATCGGCGGCTTAAATCAGATTTCTGATGCATCGCCTAAAACGAAAGTCATTATATCGGCTTGCCAATATATGCATTAAATCGATATTTCACGATGCATCGATTTATAGACCAGTCCTACAGTACAATTAAAAATTATATTTAATATTTTAAGAATCATTTTAGCGTGGACCCAGTCTTCTTTGTACAGTCCTGGTAAACCTTAGACACTCATTTTGGTCGAAATAAGCCAAAAGATTTTTAAAATTAGATTTCACTTGAGAATTAAACATCAAATCTTCTGATTTCAGATCTAGATCTGAGGCAATTCAAATATACTAGTAGTGAAAGACTTAACAGAATGTAATATTCTTTATCTTAATATTGCAACTATTTTTCAATTTTTTTTCTAGATGCGTACGGATCAAATTTCCTGACTAGCGCAGTCATAAGGTGTTAATTACATTTTTTCAATGCAATTCGCTTTCTTGGTTACTTAAGCTAGATTTGTGAATGAAATGCTTTCGAGATCTTTTAAGAATTGTTCCGTAACATCTCACAACAAAAATAAGTTGGAAAAAGATTTGAACACCAAGAAGTTTTACGAAGCAGTAGATCCTAATTAAGTAAACATTAAATCCATGAAAATAATAGATTTGTTACTACGAGGAAAATTTAAGACATCATATGGTCTTGTATTGTTGCCAAACAAAAGCAACTTCATCTACTAAATTATTATTAATATAATATTATTACATATATGTTGGTAAATTGAAAAAGTTCTTCAGTGTACACAATAGAAAAAAAATTTTTCTTTGCTTTTGTATTTAAAAAAAAACATTACCAATTCAACTTTCAAAAAAAATTCCTACTCAAAAGTATTTTCTACGAAATTGAAAATTTTAATCATGAAAACTGCTGCACCCCTGGGCAATAGGTATTTGGTATAGCTACATTATTTTTTGATTATTCATTTTCAGCTAAGAAGAATGATGTCTGACTAAACCAATACAATACATGATTTCAATCCTTCCTTTGATTTCTCCAACATCTATAATTATTTGATTATTTAATTTCTCATAAGTATAATTTGTTTCATTTTTTAAAAGTATTAAAAAAGTATTACGGAATATTCTGTGCATGAAAATTGAAGGGCATTAATATTTTCTGTATGTAGTTATGGTGCTGTTTATGAAAGCTTTTTAAAAATATTAATTTCTAAATAAAATATTTAAGATAAATTGCATAATAACGATATTTATATAAGAACCTAATATTTAAAGAAGACATACATAAATTCTGCTCTGCTAATATCTAACACACACAATATATATATAAACTTATAATTTTCTTTAATAAGAGCTGTTTGAACAGTGGTTATTTTTCTATCAATAAGAAAGTATTTTTATAAAGTAATTAAAAAAAGTTCACCTTCACCCGGATCTGTTTCGTCCACATAAATTGACATAATTTTTGATAGGAGCCTGAAATCAAAAAAGAATTTATTATTTTAAGCAGATTAGAAAAAATGAAAGAAATAAGTTTTATTTGTTTTGATTTATTTGAAATAACAAGGGTAAGAACTCCATATGAATTTTGAGAATATGGTCCTTAATGTTTGGATAGGAAAGAGATCGAAAGTTTGGCTTTTTCATGTTAATTTCAATTACTTAATGAGATCAAACACAAGTCGAATGATCAAAAAGTTAAAAAGGTTTTGTGAAGAAGGTACATTTATACCCTAATGAGACACATAAAACCTTCCTAACTGTAAAGTTTACCGAGTTGATTCATTTAATTTGGCATTAAAAAAGTACACAGAATTGGATATTCGTATAATGGGAAAGAGTATTTTTTTACTCATTTCACATAAAATTGACCCTCGTGGCAGAATCGTGGCGACATTGTCGCATACCGAGTTCTTGCAGAAAGATTTCTCCTTTGGGAAGTAAAAAATTTTGGTTTTCGTTTCTGCAGAAATTTTCGTTCTATTTTTTTATGCAATTATTACTATTGATTTCGATATAACTTTTAAAATCCAATATTTTTAATACTTCATTACTTATTACAGCAACTGAATCTCAAAATGAAAATACGCATTTAGTAACTCCTTTTTGAAGAGTCCGATTCATGCNCGTCTTTTTTTTTTTTTTTTTTTCTCGGTAGTTACTGCAACGCATTTCACGATTTTTTTATTATTTTTTTTAATGTGAGGATGATTTACAAAAACCAATTAAAGAAATAATTCGTGTGTTTTACCCCTACAAAATGCAAGAATATCGGCATAATATTAGAATAAAAAAATATTACATATTCAATTAATAAAACTATTTTATTGATTTCGAGAAGTTTTCTTTTCTGAAATCGACGATTCTGTTACTTTAAATTAGTAATATGTATATTTGTTAATTTTAAAAGTATCCTGTAGAAAGATATTAGTATTAGAGAGGTATATCGCAGAAAGTCCGAAATGGGGAAATTACCCATAAAAATCTCGATGATTTTCCATTGATGAGCCAACTTACATCTTGATGGTTCCATCAAAACTGCCGAACATTCCAATTTAGGAATAAGTTGGCTCTTTTAAGTTGGCCCAACATAGCATACCCAACATGGTATGCTAGATTTTTATGTTGGACCAACATAGTATAATGGATCTTTCTGTTCGGCCAGCATCGAACACCCAACATGGTATGATAGATTTCTATGTTGGACCAACATAGTATAATGGATCTTTCTGTTCGGCCAGCATAGAATACCCAACATAGTATGATGGATTTTCATGTTGGACCAACGTAGTATAATGGATCTTTATGTTCGGCCAGCATAGAATACCCAACATGGTGTGATAGATTTTTATGTTGAACCAACATAGTACAATGGATCTTTATGTTAAACCAGCATAGAATACCCAACATGGTATGATAGATTTTCATGTTGGGCCAACATAGTATAATGGATCTTTGTGTTCGGCCAGTATAGAATACCCAACATATTATGATGGATTTTTATGTCGTATATAATTTTCCGATGTGTATTTTCCATTTATTGTTTAAAAAGTTGTAAGAGAATATTTTAAACTAAATATCGGAAAAAATTGTATTTTTTAAAATGTTTTTTTTTTCACTTTAGAATAGAAAATAGTTTTATACTTTTAACTGTCATGAGACAAATATATTTAATATTTGCTCCAATGAGTATTCTGTTGGGAAAAAAATCGTTAAACAACGTCTTAAAAAAATTCCAGGGTTAACTGTGTTTGGTCATAAACAAGATCTTTTCTCATTATTTTGTCTCAAGTTTTTTGTTAGTAATTTTCGTTTACTTTCTGTACTGTCAAATCAACTCGTTTAAATGTTTTTAAAAGTTCTCAGATATTATACTCCTATCCAACGTTATTTTTACAAGTCTTGAAAGGCTATTTCTTATAAGTTTTGTAAAAACTAAGAAGTTTAATGAAAATTAAAGTGAAATTAGATGACTTTTTATGGATGCACTTGGATTATTTTCAATTATTTAAATTGTGAAGTTGTTTTGGAATTCAATTTCAGTGTTTGAAAAATCGTGCAAATTTTATTCTTTACTAACCTACAAAATAAAAACTATTTGAAAATTTTATTCGAATTTTAAAATTAAATTCAGAATTTTTACAGAAATAAGGCGAAAAATACACTTTCAGAAAATGCTTAGTCAAAAATACCAAACAGAAGATGGTAAAATTTACCGTGTTTCTTGCTTCATAGGAACACCAAAAAAGAGTAGTAATTCTTACGGAAGCCCATTGGGTATGATTTTGGTAAAATTAATGATAAAATAAGGTTTTATAATAAATGATAAAATTTTATAAATGTGGTAAAATTTGATAATTTTACCATGATCCCTTTAAAATTATTTTTATTAGAATTTAATATGAAAACCATTTTTTCGGTTAAATTTACTTTTCAGTTATATTTTTTTAATTAAATATGTGATAATTCTGAAAAACAGAATTTTCGGTAAATTATTACCATATGATCAGAAAAATTACTAAATGACTGGTTTAAATACTGTAATTTAGTTACCGTGTAAATGCTTTAAGAAAATATTTGCTGTATTGTTTTCTCTGAAGAATTCTGAAAAACAAAATCTTAACAATTTCCGAAAACAACCAGATTTAGTTGAAAAAACCAAGACAAAAACAGTATTTTTGCTCTGTTTTTGGGTTTTCTTGAGAATAAAAGAAACACGAAAAATCTGATTTAATCTGTCTTTTTTCGTCAAAATCTGACTTCATTTTGCTAACCCCGAGAGAAACTGACATTATTTAAAAGTTTTTATTTTTGGATATATAGCAGTTAAAATAGTATAGAATAATTTTTAATTAAATTTGATCAATCCTGTATTGTACTATTATAATTTCTTAATTTTCCATAGATTTAATTTAAAAAGTATATGTTTTGTGTAAATGGAAAGGTATCATTGCGTTTTACAAAAAATTATCACTGGTTGTTTGCTAATAAATAAACTTGTTTGAAGTTCTCGTTAGATCTTAAAATAAAATCATCCTTACAACACTTAGAATGTCTTTGTTCTTTTGCCAAGAATTATTCTTAAAGTAAATGATAGAACAATTTAAAAGAGGACACTTTTTTTCTTCTTCTTCGTTAATTATTGGTTATTTCTATTTTTTACTAAGACTTAAACATTTGGAAAAATAATTATAAGTAGTATAATGTTGAATATTTAGTTAAAAAGAAAGAAGGTGAAATTAAATAAAGTTTCAATAAGGCTATTATTTTTGGAACATCTGCTGTCAGCCTTGAATGCTGTGCCAAATAAAACTACTAAAGCAACCATTTCAATCTCGTTTTCTTTTGAAAACCTTTTTTTTAAATTTATTGCTCTGCTTTAAACAAAAACAAAAAAAAAAGAATTTTTTCAAGGCAGAACAGAATTTGTTAATAGAGTTGCCTTTCTTAAGTTTAGGTTCAAACCAAATAAGTGAACCCCTCTTGACTATTTTTTTTTCCTTTCTGTGTTCTTCTTTGGTTTCCTTTGTTTCTTTGTGGAATCTACTAAATTTATCACTGGATAATATACAGTCCTTTTTTATAAAACTTATTTCATAGTACTTTTATATAAAAAATTATTAAAACTAAATCATTTACTTGCTCAAGAAATATACAATAAAATTATCTTGTAGTGTATAGAATAAATTCAGGTAGCAGCGAAAATTTTAATTACTCTTGCATTTCTATATGCTATAAAACTCTTATTCTTTTATCGTTACTAGTAGTTTTTTTTTTTAAAAAAACGTATTGTTATGTTACTCTTTTAACAATAAGTTTAACTCTTTAATGGGCCATTTTTTTCTAGTATGGGTAAATTTAAATACGTTTTGAATTTAGAGGAAAAATTCATTTAAATTCTTTGATAAAATTAATTTGAATTTTAACAACATTTAATTTGTTTTAATATGTTTACTACTACCCAACAGGTGTTATAAAAAGTAACAAGTTTAATTACTTTCATTTATTTTTATTTGTAAAATAAATTTCATAATTACTCCAAACTAAAAAAGGAGTTATATATTAAAACTTTTTATACATTCCCTTAAATCAGGCATATTGTTTCGTCACCAATTTTATTCAATATTACTTCATCAGAACTGAAGTTAATAACAAATGGCATACCAAAGTTACAGTGGAGGTAAATATGATTACCACTGCTTTAGAAAGGGTTAAAGTAATATTATTTTGACTGGGAATGCAATCATTAATTTAAAACATTTAAAAAAAAAAACTGAAAAAAATTTAACAAAAAAAAAAGAAAAAAAACTGTGCATTTTTTGTCACACTTTTTATAAAATCCTTATCTAGTTTGTAATAGGTTTATTTTTGTTCCATTGCATTGTTATATGAAATGAATACAAACAGTACAAATATACAAAACATAAATCAGTATAATCACTCTGCTGATAGATTTAAAATTTATGCATGGGAAAAATTATGTTAATGCTCTGTTGTTTAAGTAATATTCAATTAAAATATAAGGTAATACTTGAAAAAATATCTAAAGGTGTATAAATAAGTTTATAATACTTAATTTAATCTTACTTTTTGCTAGTATGAAAAATACATTTAAGTAAAGTAAAATTAACGCACGGTTTCATACGTTATTTTTTTTTTTTTTTTTTTTTTTTTTTTTTTTTTTTNTTTTTTTTTTTTTTTTGGATGAGAAATTACTTTTGCTAAATATTATTCGTCAAAGATATTACCAAGTAATCGTCCTATTGAAACGTTGTACTCTTATTTTATTTAAAAATTTTCTTTGTGTTACATTGGCTTAGTAAACATCATGAATATCTAAAATGTGCCTTTATGAATGAATTTGTTTTTCAACAAATGGAAAATATAGAATTATAATAGTATACACGTAGAATTATAATAATTTTTTTAATTATCTACGTTGATTCCTATCACTAGACATTATTGTAAATTTGCTTTGAAATTTTTACTATGAATTATTAACATTAATTGCAGTAAGGACTGCGTTATAATTCCAACTTTTAAGAATTACCCGTAGAGTTATTTAAATTTTAGTTTCAGAAGACTAATATGAGTAGATAAATACGAGAGTAAGTAAAATGGTGTCTCTTACTACCTTCTTTAGTAATAAGGACAAGAACAAAGAAGAAGAAATTCCAAATAAAATGAAAGGCATAAAAAAGGAAAAACACAATTTTAACCATTATAATACGAGAAAAGAAGATTAAAAACGTAATTCTGAATTAAAAATCAAAACACTGTCTTTAAAAGGTTTGTTGTGATACATACCTCCACTAATGTATGATATTCCAAATATGTGTGAAATTATCTAAAATAGCGCTGAAGAAAGTACAAAGACGATGTTAGGGAAGAAGAGGATAAAATAAAACCCCAAGTTCAGATCAAGAATAAACGAATGAAAGAATTTGGCTTCTTTCGCCTCCAATTGATGGGGGTAGAAGCCAGATTCTGGCTAAGAATTCCTCAGCCACCCTTTTTGAACTTCTTGGCATCGATTATAAGTTTCTTCTCCAACGATTCCTTTCAACTATCAACAAACAGTTCAACCTTTGATGTCATTAGCTTTGTTATCTTATTGTTTCATTCAATTAAATATCATTTCAATTATCCAGTTTTTCTTCTTTTTTTAAACATTCTTATTAATTGAACTGAATGTTTATTGAATTCAACTATCTACAAACAGTCGAACCCTTAATGCTATTAGCTTTGTTATCTTATTGTTTCATTCAATAAAATATCATTTCAATTATCCAGTTTTTCTTCTTTGTTTAAACATTCTTATTAATTGAACTGAATGTTTATTGAATTCAACTATCTACAAACAGTCGAACCCTTAATGCTATTAGCTTTGTTATCTTATTGT